ATTGCCGGGGACAGAGCAGACCTTGCCTAACTAAGGTTAGCGGGCAGGCGGGAGAAGCAGCACAGATTGGGTGGAAGACCTGGGCCTGGGGGTTCCAACTGCGTGGCTTGGGCAAGTTCCATGACTCAGGGGCACCATGACGTTAACAGGATCCCCCCGTTCGGGTTGCTGAGCCAGGTAAAGGGGTTGTGAAAATAAACAGGTGTGCTTAGCACAAGCGCTGGAGGAGCACCGGCCGCTGTCATTCGGGCAGGAGTCCTGTTTCCCTGCAGGAACTGGGGAGCCCTTAAGGCCCTAGACCCTGAGGAGCCTCAGCCAGCCTGAGATGCACGCAGATCAGCCAGCAGTCCCTGACTCCCACTATACAAGGATGGGAGATGCATGGCGTTGGTACCAAGCTGTGGGGCAAAGAGGTAGAGCGCCTCCTCCTGCCCGCCCGGCTCTGGCGCCAGGGCCGGTACTAGCCGGGATGCCTACCACGCACTGCTGGAGTCCCGGATGGGCATGTGAGTCTGATAAGCCAATCAGAATACCTCATCCTTCAGCCTTCAGGATAAGCACATGACCCAGATAGGCCAATCAGAATACCTCGTCCTTCGGGATGGGCACATGACCCAGATAGGCCAATCAGAATACCTCGTCCTTCGGGATGGGCAAGGAATTCATACAGGGCATTTTAGTTAGAGGCTGATGAAAAGGAGTGAACTCCTTCAGGTTTAGGACCCCCTGAAATCTACCCACGGACAAGCTCCTGCTCTAGAAAAACATGTAAGAACCTCCCAGAAATACTAGCTTGATGGCTGGCATCGTCTAGCTCAGAAAATTTTGGTAGCTTTCTTTCAGAGAGGTGAATGTGACCCCATTACCCCTTGCCTAAAATTTTCAAAGGCATCTCATGGCTCCCACGATAGAGCCCTATACCATGGTTAAGGAGGTTCTGCCTACCTACAGCCTCCTTACTGTCTAATCTCAAGCCACACCGGAATCTCCATGTCCCCCAGAGGGGCCATGCTCCCTTCTGGCCCCAGGCCCTTTGCACAAGCTGGCCCTTTGCCAGGAATGCGCCTCTCCCCTTTCCCCTACTAAACTCCTGCTCAGCCTTCACATCATTGTCAAGGTGTCATTTTGTCAGCAACTTGGTCAGGACCCCTGTTATAAACCGTCAGAGATCATGTACCTCGCCCTCCTATACCTAACTCCGCTGTAATCTATTTAATCTAGATGTGTAATCACACTTATTTGTGGGATAAATTGTCTTAGTGTCTGAATTCCTCCCATGACTGTCAGCTCCTCAAGGTTGAATCTTTTCCTTTCTGCTCACCAATGATTCCCCTCACACAGGGCCTGACACATATATCTGATCAATATGTGCTCTGACCACCTAATCAATATGGACCCAGGCCTCCCTCTGGCTCCGACTCCCACTCTGGGGTTACTGTACATGGCTCATATCATGGGCTCTACACTGCAGCCACCACTGGGTACCTTGGTCTTTACTCTGGCACCCCTCCTATGTCCTGAAATGTTGTAATGGGTTGAATTTTGTCCCCCAAAAGAGACACACTGAAACCCTAACCCCCAGTATCTCAGAATGTGATCTTATTTGAAGACAGGGTCCTTACAGAGATAATTAAATTAAAATGCAGTCATTGGGGTGGGCCCTAATCCAAGATGACTGACATCCTTATAAAAAGGGGGACGTGTGGATACAAGACACACGTGTACCCAAGAACACAGCCAGGTAAAGACTGGAGTCATGCTGTCACCAGCCAAGGAACTACCAGAAGCTGGGAGACAGGTGAGAACCTTCCCCAGAGCCTTCTGAGGGAGCATGGCCATGCCAGCACATCGATCCTGGACTTCCAGCCTCCAGAACTATAAGACAACCCATTTCTGTTGTGTCCGCCACTCAGTTTGTGGTACTTCATTGATGACAGCTCTAGGGAACGAATACAAATGTTCTTCGCCCAGGCTGAGGTGTCTATCCATCTCCATTTTTACCCACTGGGAACCCTCTTGTATCCAACCAGGTCAGGCTGAAATCCCATCCGCTGGTGGAATTTTCCTGATCTTCTGACCCCATCCAGTTCCCCTCTCTGGATCCCTTTAAAATCACCTCTCAGCGCCAGGGGCTGTTTGGGGTGACCTCTAGAAAGCCCCTGCTGTAGGAAATCTATTCAAGGACTCAAGTGACTCATTTGGTGGTGTGATTATATTTTCACTCAACTCACATTTATTGACAACCACCTTTGTGCCAGGCTCTGACTTAGAGATTGGAGAAGGTGAGGTCCCTGCTCCCCAGGAACCGATCCTCGGGCCTGGGGGAAGAGAGGCAAGCAAGTACAAGAAAGAAATTAGCAAGTCGGTTTCCAGGGTGCATACAAACTTTGAAGAAAATAAAGCAGGAGCCAAGAGAGAAGGCAGAGGGAGAGGGGGGAGAGCTCCAGGGAGGGGGATCGGGGAGGCCTCCCCGAGTCCCCGAGGACCGAAGGTGGCAGCTGCACAGAGGGCTGTGGGAAGAGCACTCCAGGCAGAGGGAACCGCCCGTGAAAGGCCCTGAGGACAGAACAAGTGTGGCTCGTGCCAAGAACAGAAAGGCCACGGGGGCTGGAAGCAGACGGAGCCAAAGAGTTATGAGCGTTGATTCGTTCCTGTTTTCTTCTTTGCCCATTTTCCACACAGATCTTCTGCATGGAATCACTTTCAAAATCAGAAACAAAAATGGTTGAGAAAGGCTCGGGGGCTGCAGGGGTGGTGCTAGAATGGGTCCCTCTGCCCTGCTCTGTCTCCAGCCCCACCCCCTCGGTCTCAGGGCGCTCTGCTGACTCCAGATGTTCTCAAAGTTTGTGCGAACATTCCTGCGCCGCCTCTCACCTCTGGCGCAGCATCAGGCAACCCAGCCCCAGCTGCTTTGGCCCAAGAAACTCCCACACTGAGAACTGCTCCGCACTTAGTCGGGCCACCAGCCCCTCCAGCCTGCTCTCCCCCGCTCCCCCTGCACACCCTGGGCCTGGGCTTCTGCCAAATGGAACACTCCCGATTCTCCAGCGGCCCATCCTGCTCCCCGCCAGGGCTATGCACGTTCTGTGCCTCTGCCCAGAGCATGCCCCCTCCTCACCCTGGCCTGGCCAACCCCTGCTCATCCCCAGGACTCCTTTAGATGCCATCTCGTCAAGGAAGACCCCTGCATGCTCCAGTCAGGTGAGGTGCCCTAGGAGTGTGTCCCCATGGCTCCCAGCAGCACCACCCCAAAGTCGAACAGCCTGGGGCAGCAGACACGTTTTGGAAGGGCTTCCCAGCCCACAGGCTGGCCTTCTTGGAGAATTGCTCCCTCCGTCACCCCTCCCCCCAGCAGGGGTCCAGGGCCGGGGGGAACCAGAGCAGAGGTGGACATCTGGGCTTCTCTGCACCATCGGATGCTTTCTTCTCAGGCTCTGGAATTGGAACTGAAAAATGTTGGCCATGTGTCCCTCTTGGTGACCGAGGGAGAACAGACTGGGAAAGGAACTGTGGGCCCCCCCAAGCTTGGCCAAGGGCCCGAGGGCCAAGGAGGCCCCCTCCTCCTCCTTCCTGCTCACAGCCCGTGGAGAATCCCTCAGCTCCTGGGACAAGATGAGGTACACTCAGCAGGCCCCAAGCAAGCCGTGCTCTCTGCCTAACATGGGGCCTGGCTTCACAGGGTCCCCCCCCCTCACCGAGGCAGGCCTCACACATCTGCAGGCTCCCCTCCTCCCACTCTGGGGAGTGAGTCTGGGCACTAAGGGGAGGGTGATCCAGGAAGTAAGGGGCAGAATAGGAAGGGCTTTGTAGCCCCCACATGGGCTCTTCACTGACATGCTCTGCCTTGGGGATCAGCACCAGGTAAGGGGGAAGGGCTCAGATTTCTGAGTTAGCCAGACTCAGACTTTCTGAGTGAGCCAGTGGGGGCTCCAGTGTGGCCCTTGATGGCTACTTACTAACACGTGACCGTGGGAAACTCTCTGAACCTTGCCAACTCCAAGTTTCCTCTCTGGGTTTCCTACCAGGGTTCAGTGAGCTAATGTAGGTGAAGGGTTAGCACTGTGGCTGACACAGAGCATGCTCCATCAACGATAATTGTTATCCTTGTTATGAAACAGTGAGGGAGCTCTCCATCACTGAGGGTGTGTAAGCAGAGGGCTGGGGAGCAGCTGTCAAGGATGTTACCAAGGGCATTACAGGCTGGGTGAGAGGAGAGATTCGGCGACATCCAAACGTCTTAATCTCAAAGGTCTCCCAGTTTCCTTCCTCTAGGAACCCACCCCCGGCCAACACTGCCACACAGCTGAGCTGAGCGCTGATTGCAGAGGGCGGGCAAAATGTCAGAAATTTCCCCCAGAGACCGAGGAAGGGGTTTTTGTGGGTTTTTCTTTTTTCCTCTTGCTTGCCGGAAGCACAGGGTCAATAAAACTCCAGCAAAATGCCCCGCCCACCACACCAGCAAGAGGCGCTCAGCCACCCCCAGTAACTGGGCCATGGAGCAAGAACGTGGGGGGACGGCAGCCCTTCTCTTCCCAAGTCACAGCATCTAAGTGGAAGGCGCTGGGGACACACACGTCACTCCGTGTCCACCCACTTCACTGTGTGGGGACCCAGGCAGGCAGGGGTGAAGGAGCTGGAGGGCGGGGGAAGGAAGTGTCTTTCTTCCTGCAGCTGGGATCATGGGTCCTCTGGAAAGTCACAGAGCCCTGAGGGCCCCACCGCTCCAGGGCCCTGACTGCGGTTGTCCTGGGGAGAAGCAGTGTGCGAGCCGCCCCCCAAGCACTGGGCTGGTGAGGGATGGCTTCCTGGAGGAAGGGGTACCAGGACTGCTGGAGGTGGCGGCGGTGGGGGAGGGCATCCCAGGGCAGACAGGCATGTCAAAGGCCCAGAGACTTGAAAGCACGGAAGAAAGGCCGAGAAAAGGCTGGGAAAGGTGACGAGTGACTTCATGATAAGAGGGAGCAATAAACAGTTGTTGGATGGATGGGCAGAAGAGCAGAGGATAGGGGGCGGGAGGGGTGGGGGGTGGATGGGTGGGGCCAGGCGGGGGGTGGTGGTGCTGTGGCCTAATTGCATCCCTCTCAAATCCGTATGCTGAAGCCCTAACCCCCAGTGTGGCTTTATTTGGAGATAGGGTCTTTAGGAGGTAATTAAGGATAAATGAGGTCATGAGGGTGGAGCCCTGATCTGATAGGACTGGTGGCCCTTAGAAGAGAAAAAGAAAAATATGTCTCTTTTCTCACGCTCTCTCTCTCTCTCTCTCTCTCCCTCCCTCCCTCCCTCCTTCCCTCCTTCTCCCCCACCCCTCTCTCTCCTTCAGCCATGACAAGGGGCTGTCTGCAAGCCAAGAAGAGGAGACTTCTCACCAGAAACCAAACCCTGCTGGAAACTTGATCTTGGACTTTCTAGCCTCCAGAATGGTTTGGAAACAAATGTCAGTCGTGGATGTGTCCCCAACCCCCGCACCGCACCCCCGCTCCCCATCTGTGCTGTTTCGTTACGGCAGCCTGCCCCCAGCAGCCTGAGATAGATGGGGGGATGGGTGGGGGATGGGTGGCAGAAGGAATGGGGAGGGGGTGAAGGAGATGGGGGGGTGGGCAGGTAAGAGAGCGGGCAGGCATATGGGGAGTGGGTGGGGGGCTGGGCAGTCAGACACTGGAGTCCCAGGCACTGAAGGAAGCACAGACACCCACCTGATTGGTACTTCAAAACCCACACTAAACCATAAAATAAAGGCGAGAAAATCCAATAAAGTTCTACTTTTTTCCCTACCATGACAACTTTGAATCATTTTTGGAAATAGAAAATATCAAATTCTTCCCCAGAATGTTGTTCTGGGTCCTTGGGGGCCTGAGCTTGGGCTCGGTCTGCCTCACGGTAGAGCAGAAAGGCTGCAGGTCTAGGGACAGCCCGGGGCTCCCGCCCAGCTCCGGCCACTTACCCTTGGTGACTTTGCGCATCATGTCCTGGCACCGCCCTCCAGAGAGCAATGCTGGTGGCTGAGAGGATGGGTAGGTGGGCCCCCTACCTATCCTGAAGGTCACCCCCCACTTCCAGTGGCCTCCAAGCACGAGGTAGTCCTCACACCCTCCACAGCCAGAATTAGCATCTTTCCCCCTCGAGTCCCTGCGCCAGAGGTCAGAGACCACAGTCTAGCTCTGTCTCACGCCCCACCCAGCGAAGGGCCCTGGATGTGCCTTGAGAATTTTGATAACAACCATGATTATGATACTGCCTCACCACCCCATTCTTCGGGCCTGAGCAGCACCGGCCAAGTGAGGATGGGCAGGCTGATAATCTACTCAGAGCCAATCGTGGTGCTGGGGCTGGGTGAGCCTTCCAGGAATGGGCTCCGAGCAGGGAGCCTGGTTCCAGAGAGATCTATAGTCCAGGTGGCCCAGAGATAAATGCATGTTCTGGGCTGGAAAAGATGAGGACTGCAAAGGGCTTCCAGACTCAGAAATGAGGGGCAGTCAGGGGGTGTCGAGGGCCCAGGCTTTGGGATCACAGGACCCTGGACTCCAGACCCGGCCAGCTCCACCATTTCCCAGCCCTGTGACCTTGGGCCAGTTACCTAACCTTACAGCACCCCCGACAGCCTCATCTACAAAATAGGATTAATAAAGGGTACTGATGAGCTCACGCAATGCATCTGAAGGTCTCAGACCAGTGTATGTATGGTAAGTGCTCATAAGGGGCCAACCGGTAACTAAAACCAAAACCTTCAGAAATCTATAGCCAACATGACGATGACAGTGTGGGCTTCCATCTTGCCCACTCACCAATCACCCCGGAGTTTTATAACTTGAGGACAAAAATACCCCCTTGTCCCTCCCCGGCACCCCCACTCACCCGCGGGGCAGCGGTAACAGCACCTCCCAGCAATCTCGTTGTAGGAGTGGTTGGGGCCTTCCTCACAGGTGTCCCTCCGAACTCCATCCTGAAGGGCGGGATAAATTGGTGAGACCAGGCTGATCCCACACACGCATCCCTCCTACCCGTTGGGTCCCAGGAGGCCTGGTCTCCACTCACTGTCAGCATCAGGCTTGAGACAGAGCCTCAAGTTTTAGAAGAGAATCAGGACAGAAACACCTGATTTCACACCTGCCTCAAACCCGCTCCACCTGGCAGGGGAAGGGGGTGATGGCAACTCCAGCCTTCCATAACTCAGCCCAAAACCTGGGCCCTGCCCTGACTCTCTCCCCTCACACTCACATCCAACCCATCAGCAAACTTGCTTGACCTCTTTGGACCAATGTCTGCCGCCCTCACCTCCTCCACCTGCTCCCACCCCCCATCCTCCCTCCCCTGAATTAATTAATTCAGTTGCCTCCTACCTGGCCTCTGGCATGGACCCAGCAATACAAATTTCTAGTAAATTTGTTTGTTGCGGTCTAACATGCTCTACAGAAAAGTGCACACATCTCAAGTGCATACCCACTGAATTTTTCCAGTGGGAACATGTCTCCCAGCCAGCGCCCAGATCAAGAAACAGGACATTGCCGGCACCCAGCAGCCCCGCCTTGAGCCCCTTCCCACGCACTACATACAAAAGGCACCCGCTAACCCGACTTCTCCACCACAGAATTGTCTTGTCAGCTTTTGAGCTTTACATAGGTAGAACCATCTCTGTTCTTTTGCAACTGTCTTCTTTAACTCAACATTATATTGCGAGAATCACCCACACTGTTGCAAATGGCAACCATTCATTCAAGTTCATTGCTGTGGAGTGCTGCATCACGTGAATATGCACAATTGATTTATCTATTCTACTCTTGATGGACCTTAGGGTTGTTTCCATTTCTGATCATTATGAATAATGCCACTAGGAACAGCCCTATACATATATTTCGGTGCATAAATATACACATTTCTATTGGACTCCACCCAGGGGTGGAACTGCTGGGTCATAAAGTATGTGCATGCTCAGCTTTGATAGAATCTCCCATTGTTTTCTAAATTGTACTGACCCTTCACTGCAGTGTATAAGTGTTCCAATTGCTCCCCATCCTTGTCAACATTTGGTAGTGTCAGTTTTAAAAATTTTAGCCATGGTGCTGCGTGTGCAGTGGTATTTCATTGTATCCTTTATTTTGCATTTCTCTGGGGAGTAATGATGTTGGGTATCTTTTCACATGTTTATTAGCCATTTGGATATTGTATAAGATGCTCATTCAGGTCTTTGGTCTATTTTTTTAAAAACTGGATTGTCTGACTTTTCTTATTGATGTGTGGGAACTCTTTATATATTCTGGATACAAACCCTTTGGTGAATAAATGCACTGCAAATATCTTCTCCCCTTCTATGGCTTGCCTTTTCACTTTCTTAAGGGAGCCTTTTTTTTTTTTTAAAGATTTTATTTATTTTATTTTAGAGAGTGAGAGAAAGAGCATGCAAGTGGGGGGAGAGGCAGAGGGAGAGGGAGAAGGAGAGAATCCCAAGCAGACTCCACACCGCATGAAACCTGATGCGGGGCTTGGTCCCAAGACCTGAGCCAAAACCAAGAGTCAGATGCTCAACCAACTAAGCCACCCCAGGCGCCCTCTTAAAGGAACTTTTTTTTTAATTAATTTATTTTTTAAAGATTATTTATTTATTTATTTGAGAGAGAGAGAGAGCAAGCGAGAGAGAGAGAGCACGAGCAAGGGGGAGGGGCAGAGGGAGACAAAGAAGCAGACATCCCGCTGAGCAGGGAGCCCAATATGGGACTCGATCCCAGGACCCTGGGATCATGACCCAAGCGCAAGGCAGACACTTAACTGACTGAGCCACCCAGGCACCCAGGGAGACTTCTGATGAACAGAAGTTCTTAGTTTTAATGAGGGACAATTTATCCATCTTTTCTTTCAATGTCAATGTCCTTTGTAAGAAATATTTGCTGGCCCGATGTCATTCAGATGCTCTCCCACATTATCTGCTAGACGATATCCCTTAACCTTCCATAGTCAGGTTTCATTTTGGTGCATGGTGTAAAGTAGGGGTCAACACTCATTTTTTTTTTTTCCAGGAACACACATTTTTAACAAGTTCCCCCGTATGTTTCCAGGGCTCTTTGAAAATTAAGTCCCTTGGGGCGCCTGGGTGGCTCAGTTGGTTAAACGACTGCCTTCAGCTCAGGTCATGATCCTGGAGTCCCGGATCGAGTCCCACATCGGGATCCCTGCTCAGCAGGGAGTCTGCTTCTCCCTCTCCCTCTCCCCCTCCCCCCTGCTCATGCTCTCCCCCCCTCAAATAAATAAATAAAATCTAAAAAAAAAAAAAAAAAGGAAAAGGAACATGAAGCAGGTTTCTAGGCTCCAGGAAGGGAGACAGGAGGGAGAGGGGAGAGGGAAGGAGGGAGCTATGTCTCACCTTTATATCTGCAGCCTCCCAGGGGGTGCCTGGCAGAGCCCAGGTGGCCACTTGCGGGATGAATGAGATGAATAGGCTTTCTTGGTTTGGCGAGAAAACAGAAGTCATCTCCCCACCCCTTCCCCACAGGGGAGAGGCCTGGCTGGTCTAAGGGGCTTCTCTCCTCTCCTCTCTAGCCAAGGGAACAGTGAACACTAATGAATGAATACTTCTGTTATGGTCAGAGAGCAGAAGCAGGCCAGTGTGGCTGGGAGGTGGATATATGGAGTCTTGATTACATTCTTTTTTTTCTTTTTTTGCACGTCTGAAATGTCACCATACAAATGAGAAATAAACCTAACTTGACATTTGCACCACCAGTCCCGTGGCACTTGTGTGCCTCCCTTCTCACTTAATCCAGAGCCCCAGGCGTTGAGGACACTCTCTTCACCCACCCACACCCTGCCTCCTCCGTCCAGCAGGATCTCATTCTTTTCACGTAAACCAGGGAGCTCCTGGGAGCCTCCCTAGGGACAGAGACCTGCCTGACCCACAGCATTTCACCAAGTGAGCTTGGACGCCTACAGGTGGAGCGGGGTGGGGGTGTGAAGGTTCAGGCCTGCAAAGTGTGGGGAAAATTCTGGGTCCCTAGCCTGGGTTTTCCCCTTCTGACTGCCCACTCATCTCATTGATACTTATGGACTCTGAGGGGGCTGTAGGTCTAGGCCCTGCTCTCTCTCCAGGGTCTTGGGGGGCGGGGGGCTGCTGAGGGGAGCCTGAATTCTTACACTTCACTTCCTGCCACCACAACCTGATTCAGAGGGAGAGGGTGGGGGTTGCAGAGAAGAATAGGGAAGCCATGGTATTGCGTATCACCCCCCCACCCCAGTCACACATCTCCTCCTTTATGTCACTGCCAGCCCTCTGGGGCCAGATCACTACCCCATATCACAGATGAGGAAACGGCAGCTCAGAGAGGTTTAGTCACCCACCCGAGGTCACCAGCAACTAAGCGCCGAGAGGATATTTGAGCTTCACTGTGTCCCAGCTCTCTTCCCCTCTCTGGGCCACAGGCTGCCCATCTACAAAATAGAAATAACCTATTGTGCTGAGAAGGACACCATATCACATCTGTGGCCTTCCTACTGAAAGTCCATAATCTGAATCAAATCATGAGGACACGTTGAATAAACCCAAACTGAGGGACTTTCTACAAAACAACTGGTCTGGACTCTTTGCGTGAAAGAGAAAGAAGAGCTGTGGAATGTTCCAGAATAGGGAGACTCATGAGACATAGTGGCTGAATGCAATGTCTGGATTAGATTCTGAATCTGAGTGGGGCTGTAAAGGAGAATATTGACATAGCTGGTAACATTTGAATATGGACTTTATATTTGATTCTGTATTCTTTATGTACACACGAAGGGAGAGAGAAAAATAAAGCAACTGTACAAAACCACACCTGTCAATAATAGGTGCTCAAGAAAGAATTTTCACAGTAAACCTTGTAAATCCACGGCTGCCACCAGGGGGCGCTGGGACTTCAGCCGGGACACCTGGGAGAAGTAGAGGACCTGGGGGCCTCGCTCCCGAGTGGGACGTGTGGGGAAAGGGGCAGAGGCTGAGTCCAGGTGGGGGCACAGCTCAGCGCCATCCCCCAGCATCCACCGCAGATGCCCCAGGCCGCTGTGGCTGGCCTTCTCTCGCAGAGACAGTGGGGAATTTTTTTGCCTATGATGTCATGCATGGCTTTACAAGCGCCCAGAAAATGGGGCCAGGGCCGTGCACACGTGTTGTAGAAGTAACAACATTAGTTGTTGAACCCAACAGCCCTGTGAGACCCTTCTACCCCGGAAACTAATCTCGGAGAGAAGAAGAACCTGCCCAGCGTAGCACCTCGTGGCCGGGCAGGAGCTGAGTCGGGGTCAGCTGACTCGCGACCACTCCGACCGCTCTGACCACTCCATGAGGGCGTGGAGCACCTACTGCGTGTCAGAGAGCTGACCTGGCCCCCGAATACCCTCTAGGAGCTGCTGCTCCAGTGTGGGAGACAACGCCACCTTCTCATAAACTAGAGAGAGGTGGCTTCTGGGGCCCAGAGCTTCACCTGTGCAACACTGTGGTCCCCGGAAGCTGGCCCAGGCCCATGCCCCGGGCCCGGCCCTCGCCTCTGGGCCTGCTCTTTGCTCTCCCTCTGCCATCTCCCCGTTGGCCCCAGGCCCCCTGTTGCCCGTCACCATTGCCCATTCACACAGGCCCTTCCCCTTTAGCACTAAGACAGCCCCAAGAAGGCTGACCCCTGGATACTGGGGCACCACCGATCCCTGCTGGCCATGGGCCCAGACCCTGGATGGCCCATCAGTTCCTGCCGCCCCTGGGGAACTAGCCCTGGCCTGGAAGAGAAGGGGTGTCAGAGAGGGGAGAGTGGGAGGGGGAAGCCCAGGGACTGGAAGGGGGGCTTTTGGGTGGGGTTCCCCAGCATGTTCGAGGCAGAGCGAGGTCTCCACAGGGTAATGAGCTGTGCAACCAAAGGCCTGGGGCCCGACCTTGATGGCCTCAAGATAAAAAGAGAGTGGCCCGAAACCTTTCCATGTGTAAACCTGCCTGTT